CAGAATTCTTGTGGGCAGCCTATTTAAAACATAAACAGAGTGACGTACAGCTTCAGCCCAGAAACTTTGTGGCATATCCATTGCTTTAAGGATGCTCCTTGTTGTGCTCATCACCGTTCGATTCCTCCTTTCAACGACACCGTTCTGCTGTGGTGTGTAGGGTGCAGTTAACTGTCTTGTGATGCCAGCATATTCACAAAACTGTTTGAACTCGTTGGAAGTAAACTCTCCTCCCCGATCAGTCCTAAGGACCTTTATTTTCCTTCCATATTGATTTTCAGCAAAAGCCTTGAATTTCTTGAATTGTTCAAATGCCTCACCCTTGGTTTTTAGCATGAAAGACCACATAAACCTGCTGTGATCATCAACAATCAGCAGAATATACCTGTTTCCAGACTGAGTAGCAGGTGTTATGGGACCACACAGGTCAGCATAAACCTGTTCTAATGGTTTCGCAGCTCTGAAAGTTGTTTGGCCAGGAAAACTTTGTCGTGAGTGTTTCCCTGCCAAACAAGCTTCGCACATCTGTGAAGGGTGGTCAATGGCCGGTACTCCATCGATTAGTTTGCTGGTCCCTAGTCGTTTTATTGTATCAAAATTCACATGACCAAGACGGGCATGCCACAACCATGCTGGATCATCTATCTTGGCCAGTAAACAGATTGGTGTCCTAATCCTTAGATTGATTTTATATAAACGATTAGGGGATCTTGGAACCTTCATTAACAGCGAACCATCCGGCTCAAATATAGATAAGAATCCACGTTTGATCAATATTGTACAACCCCCTTCTTCAGCTTGTCCGATACTAAAGATATTACTCTTTAAGTATGGGATATAAAGCACATCCGTCAACAAACGTTGTTCCCCATTCTTGCACACTAAAAGAATGGACCCTCTTCCTTCTATCTCGACACACGAGTTGTCACCAAATCTTAGTGTACCACTGATAGTTGTATCAAGTATTGAGAACATCTCCTTGTGTCCTATCATATGATTTGTCCCTCCGGTATCTAAATGCCACATCCATTCCCCATCATCATGTGTCTCATACGTGGCTGGAAAAACCTTGTCTTCACTTAGATGAATTACATCCTTATTTCTTTGATTAGCCAAAGCCATTAACAGAGCAGGCCCATCAAAATTAGCCCGTGGTACTTCGATTGGCCTTGCTTGTGTCAGATTTGCCTTTTCATCTTTTTT